GAATTGATCCCTGTCACGGATCAGATCCGGGTTCAATTCCCGGCAGCTTCGTCTTTTTTTACCCCCCACTTCTTTTCTCTTTACACCCGTTCGCGGGTTTTTGTGGTTTGGCAACGACTTTCAAAATAAACACAACACGCCGATCGCTTCATGAACTTGATAGCCAGATTGATCACCGCTTTTCGGGGGGGTGACATGTTGTGCGGGGTCGAGAACCTCATTCACTCCGCGCAAGGGAATGATCGCACCACTAGTGTTAAATTGGTCAAGCACCCTAGAGGCATTTCCACAACAGCGCTTAGAACTGCCTCTGGAAGTGAAAAACACTAGAAAATAAACAAAGTCATTCACAGGTAAATTTATCACCCGTGTGAAGAACTGCCTCTGGAAGTGAAAAACACTAGAAAATAAACAAAGTCATTCGCAGGTAAATTTATCACCCGTGTGAAGAACTGCCTCTGGAAGTGAAAAGCACTAGAAAATAAACAAAGTCATTCGCAGGTAAATTTATCACCCGTGTGAATTGAGCACAAGACGCCCAACACCCTTAGCGGGATGCAGCGCGNACTAGAAAATAAACAAAGTCATTCGCAGGTAAATTTATCACCCGTGTGAAGAACTGCCTCTGGAAGTGAAAAGCACTAGAAAATAAACAAAGTCATTCGCAGGTAAATTTATCACCCGTGTGAATTGAGCACAAGACGCCCAACACCCTTAGCGGGATGCAGCGCGTCGTTCATGCGACTCGCCGAATACCTCACGGCGCTTCGCGCTTGGTGATGTAACACAACATTGTCCGGCGAAAACCGGCATGTTTCTCCTCCCCGGCTTAGAAGGGATGCGACGTGAAATGAATGGTCTAACGACAACGGCATGAGTACCGCGACGTCAACACACCTGCTGGAAGCGGGACTAGTGCCGCGGGAAGACACCCCCCTCGACCCAAATCCTCCCCCGCCACCGCTGCCGTTTGCCCGCTTGGGTGGGGTCGAGCCGTATCGGGGAGAGTCGGCGCGGCGGGGCCGTCGTCCTCTTGCCAAGACGCCACCGCCGGCAGCAGTAGTAGTAGTAGCGGAAGGTGTGGTGGCCTTGGGGGTGGTGGTTCGGCCTAGGCGCGAGCTCCAACCCCCCCCTCTGTAGGGGCTCCGCGTTCGAGAGGACGGGCTTGTGCTGTGCTGGGGTCGACTGCCGCTGTGTGTGTATGTGGATGATGCGCAGGGGGGGGGGGGAGAAGGGAA